AAACTCATTTACACTTTTCACACATTTTTGAATGAAATTACACTTTAAAGAAATGTTATCACTATTACACTTTAAAGAAATGTTATTTTCATGCTTATTTTATAGATTTATATGTTAGGAACGAAACGCAACTGAAATGGGGCGAAACAGAGCGAAACAGTGGAGCTGCTTCAGACCGGCACCGACGACGCCCAAGTCTAGAGAAGCAACGAAAATGGCTTCGACGGCGCCTAAACCGACGCCGACAGCGGTCGGGACGGTTATGGACAGATTTTTGGCAAATTTTGATGTTCTAGAAGGCTCCCAAGTGATTCAAACACCCCATGAAGTGATTCAATGCATCTAGACACTTGGAAAAGACTCTTGAATTAAGAGACATGTTTTTTGGATGAATAGATTTGTCTCTTGGGAAAAAGGAGGGAATTGGTCTCTTTAAAAAAGAGAGTTTGTCGCCTCTCATGGTGCGTGCGTGCGTGTGTGTGGGCTTGTGTGTGTGCGTGTGTGTGTGTGGGTGTGGGTGAGTACAGAAAAGTCTTGTTTGGGGAGAGGATTTTCTTGAAGAATTGTAAGAGGAGAGAGAATGTGAGAGCTTTCTTCTCTATTACATTTCTAAGAGAGAATTCAATTTTGATTGTAAAGAGAGACAGTGCTTCAAGGGATCTTCAAGGGATTTGCTTGTGGAGGAGTTTGAGATAAGCTGTGTTCTTTCTTTTATTTGTTTTGTAAACTTGTTTATATATATATAATCTGTATTTTGTTGTATCTTGCTCATGAATTCTGAGTAGTATTCTGATTTTTTCCCTACTCTGAGAAATGATGAAATGAAGAGAAAATTTGGATGTGCCATTTTAAAATATAAAATAAATTGTGATGATTTAATTGTGATGATTTTTCCACTTCTTTTCCACTTCGTTCTTAATTTATTTTTCGATCTGACCAATTGAAATGTTAAAATCTGTTGTGAAACATATGATCCGGAAAATAAAGTATGAGTTTTACAACAGAGTGAGAACCACATTAAATTCCTTGGGGAGTATGAGTTCTACAACAGAGTGAGAATCATATTTAATTTCATGGAGGAGTGTTTTGTTCATGGAATCAGGTGAAAATAAATAGGGAAATATACATTGTTGGGAGTAGAATTTGAGATTTTAGGGTGACAGACTAAAATTCTCAATTTGATCTTAGTGTTTAAGAAGTAAAGCGAGCGTTAGCCTTCAAGGGAAGAGAAGTAGGAGCTCTGGAGTGAGAGCCAGTATCCTCCCAGCCTAACCATGGATTTAGAGACTAAACCTGAAATTAGTCAATGATTCTCTAAAACACTGAATCATGGTAGAGAATTAAAATTGTTTCTATTTGACACAATACAAAATCAAATTATTTATCTCTATCATTAACCAAAAATTCATGATAGTGGAAATGATACTTTTTTAAATTTGAATCCTTCATCACAAAATTTTGTTTAGTCTTAGTAAATTTAACTTTAAAGTTTAGAAATCAATTTAGTAAATTTAATTTCGTTAGCATACATTAAAACCATTTTAATCAATCTGCCAAACTAATTGTTTATAGTAGTAGACTAAAATTAGCCTAAAGGCCTAAAGGATTTCTTATAAAGGATTTCTTATCTCGCTTCTTCGTGGGATCGATACTGGGGTTTTTAAAGAAAGCCCTATATTACTTAAAGCGATACGTGCACTTGCGTAGAAAAATAACACACACTAGGGGCGCATCAGAGAGAAGAAGCAAAAGTCGTTGTTTCAAATACCAAGACGAGTGTCCCTCTCTTCATGCATGAAGGATAGCAAGAAGGGAGCCCAACGCTTCTAGAAGGAGGACCGGTGGCTAGGGTATAAAGTTAGGCTTTGATATCATGTTGAAATTCAAAATAATGCAAAATGTTTTTATTGATATGAGAAGGGAGTATAAATAACTCTTAGATGAATCCTAGAATAAGAAAGACAATAAAAATGAAATAATAGGAAATGAAAGATATGACTCTTAATATCTTCAAATAATCAATTCATATTAATTGTTTTGGAGATAAAGGAAACAACATAAAAATAGGAAAGCCTAAAATAGGAAAGGAAATAAATTCAACAAATGGAAATAATTTATTCCTCATAATTTCTCATAGGAATAAATTATTTCTTTATATAACTTCTAACACCCACCATTTGTTTGCTTGATCTCTTACTTCCCCTCACTTGGCAATCACCGTCTCTTCTTCTTGTTCTCGCTCACCTCTCTCTCTTTCTCTATCTTTTTCTTGGTATCTTCCACTTCCTCTCTCTTGCTTCTCCTTTCCTCTCGATTTCTTCTGCTTGTTTCCCTTCTTCTAATGCACCGAACATAGCCATTTTAGTTGACTTTTATTTATTTTGTTTTTTTTGGAGAACTTGTTTTGTTACCTTTTTCTTAGAAAATATTTAATTAATGTCTTAATTATTATGATTTTTTTATTTAAAATAAACACACACTCAAAAACTTTAGTAAGTCTTAAATAACCCAGTAATTTTTAATTAGTTGGTTTTAATTTTAATGTTTTAATTAAATATATGTAAATTTTTGGATTTTACAAGTTTATTCTAAATTTTCTTAGCTATTGGATTATGGGTTCCACTATATTAGTGCATATGAGAATGGTTTAAGACATACAAAGTCTTCGCATTGGTGTACTTGTAGATGGAAAAATATTTCTCCCTGTTTTCCAACTAATCATCAACTTTGTTAGCATTTATTAATCTATCATATGTAGGAAGCTCCAATTTCACATCCTTTTTGAAAGGAAATAATTTCACCATTATTTTTAACTCTTACAATCTATAAGCTTTGGATCTTCTTTATGATACAAAAATGATATTGGACTAAGATGGGGCCAATGACAAAAGTTCTCTAAACATTAGATGGAGATTAAGCTTATGTTAAGAATAATCTTTTGATATAATGTTGAGGATTAATATATTAATAAGTAGGTCTTTAGGTCTCCTACTTGGCTTTAAAAAAAACCTTTCCAGATTCCCCATAATTAGCTGTTTTGAACGACGAAGTTAATCCTTGGATAATTAGAGCAGGGTAGATCAATTACTAATTGGGGATTATGCTAGAGCGGAATATAGAGTTGTTTGGTCACATCTAGTTTACAAGATAGAGGAAGAGGTGGTTCATCATTCAAGACAAGATAAAGAGAGAGAGAAATTTGTAATTTAATTCAATTACAATGAAAAATAGCTACAAAATAAGTTTGTCTATAAGCTTTTATGGAAGTCTTGAGTCATAATTTATGTGTAATTCCGAACTATTTTAATTTATATATTTTATTTTGTAATGTTTGTAAATATTTTATATGTTTAGGTTGATTAGCCACGCTGTTTTAAATAATGAATTATTGTACATTCAAAGGGAATGACCGCCAGAAAGTGCCTGGTGGTTACCTCTTTTGTAGATTTTTTTGGTAGTTTATTATATTATAATGCAATTTTTATCTAAATTTTATAAAACTTAATTGAGTCAAATCTTGGTAGGTTATGTTTAATTAAGTTGCTCTGTCTCTTAAGAGTTGAGGCTACTTAAAAAGAGACTAGAATTTAAAACTCATTCAGAATTTGGCTCCTCTAAGTCGACTCAACTCCACGTTAGTTCTGAGTTTGCGTTGGCTCAGTCGAATATAATTTGAGTAAATTTGACATATGATTCAAAGTTATCTTTTACATAAATTGTAGTGTATCTTATAATGTAAGTGTAGTTACATATATATTTAATTGAAAATTATTTTCCAGTCAACTATTAAATAATCTTATCAAGTTGGTTTGACTCGCTCAAAATCGGCTTAAAATCTTATTAAAACTAGCATTAAATGAATCAAGTTTAATCTAAATATTTTATTTAGAGTTGAGCCGGACTCACTCAAAATCAGCTCGATTAACTACTCCAACTTAATTATATGCTTAAATTTGTCATTTAATTCCCTCTGTCTCAAAATTCTTCCACTTTATCACATATTCTTTATCTCTTGATCGGTCCTCGGTTACCAAGTGTGTGAGGTTTCCCCTTCAGTAGAGTGATCCGAAATAGGGAGACTATTTTTTTGATTCAAACCTATGTTCTCCATAGTAGCATAGTGGAGTGCACCTTATGCTCTAGGCCTGCCCATTATATATTTTATTTTTTACATTCCAAAATTAAATGTCTGACATACTGATCACAAACTTTCTAGTTTCTCCTTATTTATATTGTCAAATTTGTTTGTTTTGTTTTTTATTTAAGTTAACTTTTATATAACTGGAATTTAGCTAATTATAAAGAAATGAATCATACAGAACGGGCATATTCGGTGCTTTGTTTTTTCAGGAATTGCTTGATGAATTTTTTTTGGTTTGATTTCCTGTGTTAATTTTTAGAATCTGACTTCTTTTTCGGTGTTAGGAGGTTAGTTAATTTCAGCCCTCCATATAAGTGTAAACTTAAATCTGAGGAGACCGGTCCTAGGTGGATGGTGGGTCAGTTAGACTAGTTTGTCTAGATTAGTTTAACCAACCTTCAAAATAGTGACATTTAGTGGTTTACCATTAATATTGAACTAAAAGTCCAAACAATGTTAGCTTAAATGGTTTTTCTAGGGTGATCACATCACAATGAAAAGCAGAATTTCTGTGTCATTCTTCTTGTCCCTATCTTTGATGGATTTGTTTCTTCCACTTGTGTTTTTCATTGCTCTCTTCGGAGAAGATATAGATCAATGTATTAATTCTTGATAACCTGAATGCAGTGAAGAATAATGCCTTAGACTTCTTGTTTTAGATTTAGATGCATGGAGAAAGTAACATTTTTTGATCAGTTTATCTATCTATATTTAGGGGACAGAATATTCTGTACTTGCACCAGACATTTTAGCTTTGAATTTCCTTTTGTTGGCTTGTTTATAACATAGTTATGTCAATTGATTAGCAGGTAGCTATTGTATCCTGAAATACCTAACTTTATTTTGTTTGTGGATGTAGGAAGATAACAAGATGGTTGTAAAGAGGAAAACAGAATTGGGAGGGGCGTTTTCTGTAGCAAGCTGGATACTATTTGTTGGCTTGTTCTCTGCGTAAGTAATGGGCTTTTGCTGTTGCTGTCTTTATGTTGACCATGTTGTCATGTGAGTTCATGCAGCATTAAGAACTTGGCTTGGCTTTAAATCCTTAACCTTGGTAAGCCATCTGAAACTTTGAATTTTCAACTCACTTCATACCAGGTTGCTGTATGAGATTATTGCAAAGCGCACATTTGAGGTACACAAAGTCAAACCAACCAATGCTCCAGACTTGCAGCAGTTTGACAATGATATGGAATTCAATATAACCACAGTCTCTAGCATGACCTGTTCTCATTTACGAGGTCTTACGGAAATAGTCATCAGTAGTCCTGGTTCAGTATATTATAAAGTATATCTTCTGACTCTTTATTCTAATTATACCTGCTATAATACAAGCCTAGGTCCCACTGTTTCAATTAAATGCAACCACTGTCGGATTCCAAGAGATGACTTCTATATTTCCTGGCATTTTGTGGATCTCCCAAAGAGTCCTGCCAGTGCAGTGGGTTTTCAATTCAATCTGACGGCAAGGGATCATATTGATGATGCACACGTCAGCTATGTCAGTGGTACCTTAGCACCAGGAAGCTATAGAGATGGTGGACTAGAAACATTAAGGGGTCCAGATATGAATTTATTGAAGATTAATTTATTCCCTACAAAGTTCAATTATAAACATCAATTAAAGATTATTCAACCTTTGCTGCACGACTACATACCAGGCTCATCATTTTCTGATATTGGGACTCTGCAAACATCTTTTCAGAACTCCAGGGATGGACTATTGAATATTACTCTGATTGTTAGATATCTTTCTGATTACATTGTGGAGGTTGACAAACAACTTGTGTTTGGAATTGGTATGATTCATTGCTTACAATCGCTGGCTGTTAGGTTATTTTTTTAGCTTCTAATTCATACATAAATAACACAGATCCAACCTAAAAATTATTATTTTTTTTCCATCAACAACTAATATGAACATTTTTTTCTATCTAAAGTAAATCTATCATATAAAGTGGAGGGTCGCGTTAGGTAGTCGATATCCAACGTAAAATTTTGTCGAAAATTATAAAATGAATCCTTTAAATTATTGTGAAAATACTAGGGCGTCCTGGCATCCTCTGGAAGCGGCGTGTTGTATGACCTGAATACAGTGAAAAGTCTGCAAGGGTCGCTACACCGGTGCACGGGTGTAGTGTCAAATAAACAAGAATTCCTACATTACAGATGAATGCAGGTAAAGAAGCTAGTCTATGAAACTAATATTAGGATATAATCTTGTTATATGGGTACTCTCACAAGTAAATTAATAAAATTAGTTCATAATATAATTCATAAGAAAATAAATATCTTATGTATTCAAGAAATTAAATGGGTTGGAGAAAAGACTTAGAAGATTGATAGCTTGGTTTTTAAACTTTGGTATTCAGGCAAGAGTCACACTAAAAATGATGTAGGCGTAATTATAGATAAGAGTTTAAAACATAATGTTGTAAAAATTAATAAAATTAGAGATAGAATTATAACTTTTAAGATTGTTGTTGATACCTAGATTTTTAATATTTTAAGTGCTTATGATCCTAGCTACATGTTTTAAAGAAAAATTTTGAAATGACCTAGAAGAATTAACACAAATGATACATCTTGAAGAAAGAATTGTTATTGAAGGAGATATAAATGAACATGTTGGTAGTTTAGAAGATTTTAGAAATATTCATGATGACTACGATTTTAGAGTGGTTAATGAATAAGATATCACCATATTTGATTTTGCTTTAACGTATGATTTTGTTATTACCAATAATTTATTTAAGAAAAGAGATGAAAATATTATTATTTATAAAAATGAATCCAATAAAACACAAATTGATTATTTTCTTATCAAAAGAAAAAATCGTCGAGAATGTGAAGATTGTAAGGTCATTTCAATTGAAAATTTAAGTGCTCAACATCGATTTTTTAGTTTTGGATTTTAAGAAAAAGAATTTTAAGATAAAGAATACTAGGAGTCTTAGTCACAAAATTAGATATGGGCAACTAAGATACACAAATAAAATTATTTTTATGAGAAACTTCAAGATTTGGGATATTCATGTAGAAACAATTTCTATGGGATAAAGTAACAAACACTACTAAATAGCAAAAGATGTACTTGGAGATTCAAAAGAAAAATTTTCTATAAATAAAAATAGTTGGTGGAAGAATAATAATGTGCAAGAAAAGATAAAATATAAGAACTCGTGTTATAAAAATTGGTTTAAACGTAAAAGCTTAGATAATTGAGAAAAATATAAGGTGATCCGTAGAGAGTCTAAGAGACCAATTTGTGACGCTAAAAAATTTTGTTTTTAATTATCTTTATAATAGATTAGTTACTAAAGAAGATGAAAAATATATGCAAATGAGTCAAACAAAGAGAAAAGAAATGTAAAGATTTAACTCAAGTAAAGGGTATTAAAGATGAAAATCAAAAATTATTTTTTCTTAGAAGATCTTCAACATGGGTGGTGAGCTATTTTGATAAACTTTTTACTAAATTTTCTGAAAAGACGATTGAACTCAGTAATCTTAATATCATTAATAATAATAAGAAGTTGAGGAGGCTTTAGAGAGAACCAAAGGTGAAGATTCAGTAGGACCTGATGATATCGCAATTGAAGTGTGAAAGTATTGAGTTTATTAGCTTACTAAACTTTTTAATATTATTTTAAAACTAAAAAGATGTCTGAGTAGTGGAGGAAGTGTATTTTGGTTACCATTTTTAAGAATAAAGGGGATACCCAAGAGTGTATAAATGATAGAGGAATTTGGTTGATGTGTCATACTTTAAAATAATGGGAGAGAGTAATTGAACGTGGGGTAAGATGTGCTACAAAGATTTCTCATAATCAGTTTGGATTTATGTCAGGTAGGTCTAATATGGAAGCTGTACATTTATTGAGCGATTTGATGAAGAAGTACAAAGAGAATAAGGATGATCTACATATTGATTTAGAAGAAAACTTATGATAAAATTCCAAGAGAAGTCCTTTGGAGAGTTTTAAAGAAGAAAGATGTTAATATGACTTATATTCAAGTCATTAAAGTTATGTATACTAGAGTTATTACTTGTGTTCGAACATAAAGAGGATTAACCAAGTATTTTCCTATTTCAGTTAGATTATGTTAAGGATTGGCCTTAAGCTCATATATTTTTGCTTTAGTTATGGATGCTCTTTCTGGACATTTACAAGAGGATGTACTTTATTATATGTTTTTCTATGATGATATCCTTCTTCGGGATAAGACTAGAGAAAGAGTTCAGGAAAATTTAAATTATGGAGGACTACTTTGGAGTCTAAAGCCCTTCGTTTGAATCTAATACATGGAATGTAATTTTAGTTATAGTTGCTCTAGTGGCACAGTTGTAATTATGAGTGATCAAATAGTTAAAATGTGTGAACGTTTTAGATATCTCGGGTCTCTCGTTCAAAGTGATGTTGATATAGATGGGGATGTTATTAGAAGAATTCAAGTTGGTTGGTTGAAATGGAGGAATGCTTCGGGCCTATTGTGTTATAGAAAATTACCGCTTAAACTTAAAGGAAATTTTATAAGATGGTGGTGAGACCTGCAATGCTTTATGGAGCAGATTGTTGGCCTTTAGAAGATTAGCAGAAAAACAAAGTTAAATGTTGCTGAGATGAGAATACTTAGGTGGATGATTAGCTCGACACTTAGAGATAAAATGTGAAATGAATATATCTATGTTGTGGCTGGTGCAACTCTAACGGTAGACAAGATTAGAGATTTGTCTTAGATGGTTTGGTGACATTAAATGTTGACCATCTGATGATCTGGTTAGGAGAGTGGATGTTTTAGCTTCGAATGATGTTAAGAAAGATAGATGTGCACCTAAAAGGACTTGGGCATATTGTATAAAAAATGATCTTAATCTATTAGAATTAAACGAAAATATGACACTCAATAGGATGCAATGGAGAAAAAGGATTCATGTAGCCGACCCCACTCAGTGGGATAAAGGATTGCTGTTTTCGTTGTTGTCATTTTAGTAAATCTGTCATATATCATGCAAACTACTCTGTTCTTTAGTTTCACTAGCTCCTTCCCTTTACTAGTCCAGCATCACTCTTCTACTAAATTCATTCCCCCTAAAACCTTTCAAAAGGAAAGCAAAAAAAATCAGAACTCGAGTCATTTGAAGACATATGAATCTCTTCATTTATTGCCACCGCATCTTCAAAACAAATTTGTATAAGATGCACATATTGTATTCTACTAACTCAACAGTAACATACAAACTGACCTCTGGAACTAAAAAATTCTCTCCACTCATTTTGGAATCAACATTACAAATTTATTAATTGATTTCATCATTCACTGTAACATTTCAGTTCAAAACATATTATCGTTATTGTGTATATTTGGCTGATAGACATTATTTCTCATCAATATAATAATAGGCTTAAAAATTTTTATATTATGCCAAGCAGTATCAATAAAAAGACATCTTATAATTTATGACAGATTGTTGCCTAAAGTTAACAAAATGTAATAGTTAATGTATCAAACAACTGAATGCTTGTGATAATTTTTATTCTTATCAATCTAATAACTACATTTAGTCATAGCACAATTAGTATTGTGATTGCTAGGGTTCATATTACAGCCTAAATCGTTTTAATCATCAGTATTCACAGAAATGTCAAATGATTTTCAAGAAATGCCAATGTTGATACATCAAATCATTACCAATATTTTAATGATAATAGAATGTCCTTTGAAGAATATGGACATTATCATCAGTATGAATCCAATGATGTTCTCATCTAAAACAACAACAAACCTTTATCCTTTTAAGTGGGTGATACCAGAGTTAACCCAAACCACACAGCAAGACACGAATTTATTAATAACTTAAAAAGGCGGTTACAATAATTACTCAAAATAAATAAAAACATCACGTAAATCAAAACATAAAACAAAACATTACAAACAAAGACCCAACAAAAACGACACAACAAGCTCCACGAGGATGGAGTCAAGAGAGATAGGACTGGAGCAACGGCTGCGAGAGGAACCTGGAGTGTAGTTGGCCAGGGAAGCTGCAAGATGGCATAGAGAAGGAACAGTGTTGCGGCTTGTCGGAAACTTTGTAGAGGCGTCAGGATAGTGCAGTCGATGACTTGCAGGGGAGCTGCAGTTTGCAGAGGGTGCCATACGGAGGAATAGTGTTGCGACTTGTAGGAGACTGCAGAAGAGGTGCCTTGATGGTGGAGTAGCAGCCTGTAGGGGAGCTGCAGGGAGGAACAGTAAGGATAAACACCACCTCAGATGGGTTACAGCCTGAGCACCTTCCTCATTGTCGGATGCAGCCTTTAGGAGAAAAATACTCAAATAAAACTGAAATTATATTTCCAAATCTCTAGACACATCAACTCTTATTTATAAATGACTTTACCCAATTCAGGAAACATTTAAATTAAGAAATGAGAATAAAAAATAAAATCTAGATCTCAGATTTTTAGGAAAGGTTTGAATTAAGGGAGGAGAATAAAATCAGGATTTAGACTTTTAGGAAAGGATTTAAATTAGGAAAGAGCTTAGGAAGGAAAATAGAAAGAGGAAGAATGGAAAGAAAAAGGATGGAAGAATAAGGAAGGAAAGAGGATGAAGGGGGGTGGGCCCCCTCCAAGAGGACCGACCAGTCCAGCTAGGTTGGACCTGCGCCTAGCTGGTCCCCATGAGCCTTGTGTCAGTCTCTCAGGATTGGGGGAGCTTCGACCTCAATTATCGAAGCTTCTGGATTCTCAAAGCATGAAGTAAGATTTGCTGCGTTGAATGTGACTGAAATGTT